GGGAAGTGTCTCCAGAGCCGCAGCCTGGCCTCTCGGTGACATGCTCCTGGGTCTGGAAAGTATCATCTATGTCACTTTGAGTGAGGATGGAGGGGTTTCACTTTGGTGGCCAACACATTTGTCTCAGACACATTCATCTGCTCTGGCCCCCGCCCCCACCCCTGCAGTGGCTCCTGTGATCGCTGCAGGTGAGCCACCGGCCGGGCGGGGGGCGCCAAGTGCCGGCTGGAGCACATCTGTTGGAAAGTTAAATGCCTAACGCCTGCTTGCAAGGGCGTTTGTTCTTTGCAAGGGCGCCCAGCCCCATGGAGCAGCAGACCTGGCAGGGAGACAGCAAGAGGCTGCCCAGTCCTGTGACTCGAGATGGAACTAAACCTCTGTCCCGGCGAAAGGAAGTCCCACACAGGGCAGCGAAACCGACGGAGCCCCTGTGTACCCGCGGCTCAAAGGGGCAGGCGTTCGCAAATTCAGTGTGGAGTGAATTTACACACCACTGCGGAATTTTAGAGCTTCTGTGACTGTCTGCCTCACGCACTAGACCCCATGACCCGCCAAGGGAGAGACCGAGGTGCATCCATCTTGGCCCCTGCAGCTCACGGTGCCAGCACGAAGTCGGGACTGAGTACGCGGCCAATGGATGAGCACGTGACGCACTGATGCCCCTGCCCAGGCTGCCACCCTCTCCCCGGGCAGGGGAACAACCTCACTGACTTCAGGGGTGCTGGGAGTGTGTGGCGTCCCCGGAGGGAGAGAGGGGTTATCTTGGTTTTGAGCAATTGGATTCCTGATCATCAATGACAGTCTGCCAGAGCCGGAACATTTTATTAAGTGCGATAGCAGAATTTATGTGCCGATTTTGCCAGGCCACAGTGCCTAGCTCCTCTGCCAAGCATTATTCTAGACGTTTCTGTAAAGGTATGTTTTAGATGAGGTGAGCGTTTAAGTCATCAGACTCCAAGCAAAGCAGATTTTCCTCCATAACATGGGTGGGCCTCACCCAATCAGTTGAAGATCTTTTTTTTTTTTTTTAATGTTTATTTTTGACAGAGAGATAGACAGACAGAGTGTGAGTAGGGGAGCAGCAGAGAGAGAGAGGGAGACACAGAATCTGAAGCAGGCCCCAGGCCCTGAGCTGTCAGCACAGAGCCCGACGTGGGGCTCGAACCCACGAACCATGAGATCATGGCCTGAGCCGAAGTCAGATGCTTAACTGACTGAGCCACCCAGCCGCCCCAATCAGTTGAAGAACTTAAAAGAAAGACTGACCACCCCCTGCCACTGAGAAGAATTTGGTCACGTGGTCAGCAGACTGCCTTTGGGCTCAAATTGTAACTCCTATTGTGTCTCCAGCAGGCAGGGCTAACCTGCAGATTTCAGATTCGACAGCCTCAGAAAGACGTGAAACACTCCCTTAGAATAAATCTGTGCATTTGTGTGTGTGTGTCTGTGTGTGTGTGTGTGTACACACACACTCACACTCCTACTGGTTCCGTTGCTCTGGAGAGTCTGGAAGAACAAGGAGGCGTGTGTCAACTGTCCCCGACCGCACCGGGCAGTGACAGGGATGTCACAGGGAAGACAGCAGAGAAAGGACTGAGGGGCCTCCAGCATCATCTTGTCCGATCCTCTTTCGACTCATTGGAACACTGAGACCCAGAGAGGGCAAGTGTCTGACTCAAGGTCACACAGCAGGTTAGCACCAAAGCCAAGAATAAAACCGCACCTAAGACCCTGCGTTCAGCATCCTACGCACAAGACCACACTGCGGCTCTTGGAGGAACATTCGATTTAATTACGTGGATAAACTAAAAGACAAATAATCCAGCAGAGGGTTTCACTGAGCACTTTGTACCAGGGCTCCACGCTCCAGGCTCCTCTATGCTGATTTCATTTAATCTTCTCAGCAACCCTGCATGGCAGGCATTACTGTCCCTTTTTGACAGATAAGCCGCAAATCAGAGAGGGAAAATAATTCCCCTCTGGCTCGCGACGGGGAGGGGATGCGAGCTCCAACTCTAAATCTGAAGCACCGGCCGCCTAGAGCTGGGAAGAGGGGGCCCGGCTGATGGTAGAGGGACCCACGATTTTTCACGCGGTCAACTCAGTCTGCCATGAAACTCGAGCTTCTGCAAATGTCTCTGCACAGAGAGGCTGAATTTTCAGGGAACACCTGGCCTCTAATCCTCTGAGCTGAGCCAGCAATCTGCGTGGATCCCCGTGTTACTTGCTAATGCCCTGGGCCTCCTGGGGGGTGGGAAGCAAAGTTCGTGGGGGGTGGGGAGGGGGGGCGGATTCTAGTCTCTGCTTAGCAGCGCTCGCCTGGTGGAAGGCCCCGGGTGGGCGCACAGCACTGAGCCCGCATAACTGGATGGGACCCAAATGGAAAATACACAGGGAAAGAATCAGGTCCCGAAAATAACCCATTGAGCTAAGCTCCATGAGCGAGTTCACTGCAGAGCACCCACAAATAAGCTATTTTATCTGACTCTTGTACAAGAGAGGGATGTCTTCTTTGACACACATCCCCCAAAATAGCCAAGAAAAGAAATGGAAAGGGGAAAAAAAACCTATACTGTATCATGTGCCTGCTCTGAGTCTATTTTTGCACAGTCTTTATACATATTAACTCCCGAGATCCTCTCTAAAAGCAGGTAGCATCCCATTCTCCAGCTAAGAACCGGAGCTTGCAAGGGTGAATCCAGTCCCCCAAGTCACGTGGGGCCGGGGAGCATAGCAGGTGTCTGACACCATAATCTTCTCTCTCCCACGTGCCACCATGCCAAAGGCAGAGATCTGGCTGGGTCATGCCCGAATTCTCGGATGCAACCGAGTCTATGCCCCCACCCCCACCCCCTGCCTGCCCCAGGTCCAGGGTTCTGATCAGTCTCCTAGGGCAGCCCCGCATGGTGCTGGGTGCGGGAATGTGGTGCTGAGCTAGCTGGGCTCTATCCGCAGCTGCTCAGAATCCGGCAGAGGAGAGACAGAGATGCCTAGAGCCGACCCACCAAGGGAGCATCTGGGAGAGAGAACTTCCTAGGAAATCAGGGAGTGCTTCTCAGAGGTGGTGTCATCTGAACGAGGCATCAGAGGATGCGCACAGGAGCCCCTTCTGGGACATGCTACGGCACCATCATCCTCACATGCTCCCGGGGATCTAGAAAAGGACTTCGTCTTGGAATCTGTGTCAAAAACGTTTTGAACCGATCTCTGACATCCCCTAACATCTTGCGCCACATTACCTGGAAAACGGCCGGAGCTGGAGGTTTTCGGGTAGATAGATGCCCCGGGGAGGCTCTGGGGCCAGCACACGTGGGCGAGTGAGAAGTAGGGCCTGGCCCTGTGATGTGGTTACAACAAAGGCCTCTCGGTCCACCCATCAGAAGTCCGGAGCGGGGCTGGGCCCGCCGCAGGGGGTTGGGGCTGATCCGGGGACGCACACAGCATCCACTAACGATGGAGGGTCAGTGCCTGGCCTTGGGGGTGCAGAGGGAGCAGGAAGTCCCAGCCTCCAGTCCCTTGCTACCACCTGCCGGGTCCAGCGTCAACGCTGAGGACACCAGTTCCTGGTGGCTGGGTGGCTTCCCCGAGGCCCTGCATCTGCAAGTCTCTGGACTCCACCTTCAAGGAAGTCCCATTTGGCTTTGAAGTCTGCTCCTTCCTGGGCACAGAGCCCTGCCCTCGGTCCGGGTCACCCGTCCCTCAGGAGGGTCTCGGCAGCTCTCTCCTGAGCTCCTTGCATCATGAGAACACGAGACACAGCAGCTGGGACCAGATGGGGAGGCGCATGGCTTAGCCACCTTTTGCAGCCAAGCCTCCTGGCTGGGCCACAGGCTGGGGGAGGTGACGTCACAGGAGAGCCATGGAACGGGATTTGAGGAGGGGCGGGGCCACCCGGGACACGGGGTGGGGGGGCCTCTTTCGTGTCTGGGTAGACAGACTTCCACGCTCCTACTGTGGGCTGTGTGGTGTGACAGCTCGCTAAGTCAGCCTGATGGGCTACGGGGTGCCCAGACACCATGTTAAACGTTACCCCTGGTCCGCGAGGGTTTCTGGGTGAGACTGACTTGAATCAGTGGACAGAGTTTGAGCCGATTGCCCTCCCGACGTGGGTGGGCATCACCTGACCAGCAAGAAAATGCAGAACAGAAGGGCAGAGTGAGACAATGTCCTCTGTCTGCCTGCCTTCCAGCCGGGACACTGTGTTCTCCTGCCGGCGCCCTTGAGCTCAGACTGGAAGCCACCACCGGCTGTCTCCTGGGTCCTGAGCTTGCAGGGGTGGGTCCTGGGGACGCCTCAGCCTCCATCATCACGCCAGCCAATTCTCTTCAGGGGGTCTCTTTATATATATTGTGTCTGCGTAAATACGGCGCTGCTAGCTGGAAACTATCACCTGTCCCTCCATCTATCCATCTCTTATTGCTTCTGGTTCTCTGGAGAAGCCAGACTAATGCAGCCTGGTTAGTTCTGGGCAGGTCCCGAACAAACGTAATCACGTGTTGGCCCAGGAGAAATACAGGCACAGAGATACCGAGTGTGGCCAGAGCCCTGCTCCCCAGAGAGGTAAGGATGGGTGTCTACTGGAAAGGAGAAATAAGCGAGCGGTCGGGATATGCCTATTTATCGAGCGCCTACTGAGTACCAGCACTGGGCTAGGACCTTCACATTCATCACACTGATCACCCCACACATCACCCCAGAACATTATTAAATCTTCGTGACTCCACTCTTCACAGGGGAAAACTGAGGCTCAGAGAAGCGAGAGACGGAGCCAGGTGATGACAGCGGCTCAAGGCCAGTGGGCTTTCCAGGTTACCGCGGGGCCCGAGGGAAGCTGCTCCCCACCTGCCCTCAAAGGAACTATCTAGAAGAGGACTCTACAGTGTCCACCCCAGGGCCCGGCATGAGGAAGGGAGGAATTGATGGACGGGGAGAGGGGAGGCCCCCACGCACCCCTGCGAGGCCGCGTCCGGCCCCGGGGCCACGTCCCGTGCGGACCTTACCTCCGAGGAAGTTGGCTTGCAGTACCCGGCTCCGAAGACCAGGTTCTCCAGAGAGAGGCTGGACTGGTCCGGTCCCAAGTCCGGGCCGCCTTTGCCAAGCCAGGGGCCTCTGCCCGGACGGGTAAAGCTGAGAGGCGGAGGTGAAGAGGGAGAAACAGTGTGAAGAAGGCAATGGTGCTGGTAGCTCAGCCCCTCCGGGCTGTGAGGGGGACGCTGTGCGATAAGTCCCTTAGAAGCAGGGGCTTGCCCCCCCCCCAGGATGGCGGCCTGAGAAGGGGGCGCCCCTGGCACGCAATCCTGCGAAGCTAAGACGGCAAAATGCCTGTGAGGCCGACCGTGCAGCTGCCGAGAGACACAGAGGGCGAGCTCCCAGGCCCAGGACCGGGGGGCAGGAGGAAGGGGGCTCCCTCCGCTATGGTCTGAGGCCGCGCCTGCTCCCTTCGGGGCACAGTGTGGGGTGAGCTCCTTCAAACCCCCTCCCTGAGGCTCCTGTGTTCCGCAGACGAGTGTGAGCATCACGGGGGCCCAAGGAATCTCCCCGCAAGGATTCAGCCCAGGTGACCCGCACTCCTGCTTAAGGCCTGACAGCGAAATAACGTTAATGCTACTGCTGTTTAATTCATGTGCTCAGGGGCACCTGGGTGGCTTAGTCGGTTAAGCGTCCGACTTTCGCTTAGGTCACGATCTCACGGTTCGTGGGTTCGAGCCCCGCGTCTGGCTCTGTGCTGACTGCCAGCTCAGAGCCTGGAGCCTGTTTCAGTCTGTGACTCCCTCTCTCTCTGACCCTCCCCTGCTCACGCTGTCTCTCTCTCTCTCTCCTAGAAATAAATAAAAACCTTAAAAAAAAAAATTCATGTGCTCAAACGTGTATCAGGTGAGCGCCACATGCCTGGCAGTGTGTCAGGTGGCGGGGGGTTGGGTAAGACGGTGGAGGCACAGCCCCCCACCTGCGGACACACTTTGTCTAGAGAGGGAGGCAGATGGGATACCGTGAAGGTGAACTTGGAACGGGGCGCACAGAAGAGCAGTTTATAAAGCAAACCAGGGGAAAGGAGGGATAGATCGAGGGGTTATGGGTAGAGCACGGCCCAGGGGTCACAGGCCACCATCAAGGCTGGGAGCCCAGCGGCAGCGCCCATAAGCTCCGTGACGTGGGGAAGGGAGAGCTTTTACACCCGGCAAGGTGATACCAGCACCTTCGCCGGGGCCTCGGAGGATTCGGTGAGACTGGCCCAACACGGCTTTAAGTGCTGTGTCAGGCAAACAGCAATCATTCAATAAACGCTCCAGCCGTTGTTGATGACCACACAAATACAATAAAACCTAACAAGATTATGACTATCTTCATGTAGCTACTGCTGCTATTACCACACACATAATTGAGTATAATATAGTCATTACTCTGATTTGTTTGGAACTGTGATTTTTAAAAAAATTTTTAACATTTATTTATATTTGGTGGGGGGAGAGAGGGATCGTGAGCAGGGGAGGGGCAGAGAGACAGGGAGACAGAGAATCCAAAGCAGGCTCCAGGCTCCGAGCTGTCAGCACAGAGCCCGACACAGGACTCAAACTCATGAACTGTGAGATCATGACCTGAGCCGAAGTCGGACGCTTAACCAACTGCACCAGAACTGAGATTTAAAGCAAGCGTGCAGCTTGGCTACAAACGGATCAAAGGGACATTGCAGGAAAACGTAGATTATGTGCATGAGCAGTGATGCTCGTGGGATACTCGGGGCCAGACTGTAAATCGGAAACTGGAGTAACTGGTTGTTTTCCTGAACTGTGGCCTCGACTGGCTCTTCCAGGGGATCTGAATCCCTCCAGTGAAATCCAACTGCCCCATTTAGGAGTTAACCATTGGATTCTCTTCTTGAGGGTGTTTCAGGAAAGGCGGCAGGTCTTCTGAGGTTAAATTTTAATTTCACACCTGCTGCTTCCTCATTGGACTTAACGGATGCTGGGAAACTCACTTTTCTGGAGAAACTAGAACTTGCCCTATTTGACAGGTATTTCCCATCATTTTAAAGGGTTGCCTTTGTTCGCTGCCACTGTGAGGTAACTAATAGAAATCCTTCCTGCAAAACCCAGAGAACAGAAGACAGTTCTATTTTTACCGCCATCCCTGGAGAAGCCAGGCTCTGACGATCAACGTCTCTCCTCTCTGCCAAGGCTGCTCCGTCTGATCTGCAAGGAGCTGTTTTCATCAGACGGTTAAATTTTCTACGAGGGGTTTCCAGGTCCCAAATCCTCGTGAGATAGTATCAGGGCTCCCAGTGGCAGGAAGAGGGATGCCGCTTTCCACATCCATTTTGGGTGATGTGGACACTTACCTCCTAGCTGGACCCTGGCCCTCGAACTCCTGTCTCCACCCCAAAGGGCTGTCACCGCCAGCCCAGCCCACTCTGGCCACAGGAGGGATCTTTACAAAACACAGGTCTGACCTGGTGATTTTCCCCCTCAAATCCTTCAATGCCCTCTTCTTAAACCATAAATGGATTTTCAATGCCTTAGTGTGACATTGGTTACACTGCTAAATGAGGGCTTTACCCTCCCAAGTTTATTTCTCATGTGCTAGACATGAGGCCGAGATCAGACCCCAAGACACAGACATGGTAGGCGCGGCATAAATATTAATGGACTGCATGGCCAAGCGTCTACGTGTACTATCTCATTCAATCCTTCTAATACCCTTCCCGCACTATGGAAACAGGAGCTCAGGGAGCTTCAGTCATGTGCGTGAGCTAACGGGCTCACTAAGCAGGGGGCTCAGAACAGATCCCTCTGACCCCAAAGCCGGCACTTTCGACCCCACTCTCCATTAAGTTCCCGCTCCCAGGATGGTTTGCTCGCTGAACTAGGCTTTAAGCCTCTTAAGGTCCCACATCCAATCTGTTCATCCCAGGGCTTCCTGGCTTGGCCTTTCCAGAAATGGCTCAAAGCTTAGGCCACCCACCACTAAGCAAGCACGTGCTCACCATGTGCGGCATAGACTGTGTACTTCATCTCACTGCCCCTGTTCTCTCTGTTGGATTCCTATCACGGCCCATTTCCTAAGTTCCCTTCCTGCCTGCCTGCCTGCCTGCCCGCCTTCCTTATTACTTCAGTGTTGAAACAGATGCCTAGAGCAGTTAGACATCACTCCGAGGACCCCCAGGAATTACCTGGTGGTGCTAGACAACGGGATGGGCCTGGCTCCAGCCGAAGCACAACAGCTCAGTCTCAGGGCCCCAGGGCTGCCTGCAGGGAGCTCTGCCTTCCTTCCCAGGGCTATCACCTCACTTTCAGCAGCTGAGAGCCAGCTACTCACAGGACACCACCTCCAGCCATCAGCCCTGCGTCACTGACAGCAGGCTGACTGTGTCCTTAAGTCTGCATCAAGGCCACTTTTTGCCAGGCCTCAGAGCGCGCACCCAGCCGGGGAATATCTCTGTAAATTCCTCATGCCCCCCTTGTTTTCTGGATTCTGTTTCTCCTGCAATTCCCCAAATTCAGCTCTGCTTTCCTTTGATTATACCTATGACTGCTGTGATATTCTCTGCCAAACTCTACGCAGCATTTGGCAAATGATAATGCCATAAATGCAGACAAGGAAAAGTCTATCGCAATGTCTCCTTGCCCAGCCCACTGGCATATACTGCGCATATCCTAACATCAGTCCCGGGGCACAGCAGGCCCTCAATATAGCCGTTAAGAAAGAAAAATGAATAGTTCCATGGTCTCCCTTACAGGGGCGTCTCCTTTCTCTTCAGGGCCCAGTGGGAGGAGCTCAGTCCTTGACGGGCAAGAGAATGTCCACATTCTCCAGTGGAGTGCCGGGGGCCAGGTACTGTGCACACATGGCCCATATGCCAGCCTCCACCACCCTCGGTGCCCTTGGCTCCTTTCACTGGCTTGAACCTTACCCCCCATGGGCTCTCTCTCTATGCCAAAACACTTCACTGCTCACGGCCCACCCTATGCAACATGCCCTTTCTCTCAGATAGCATCCCACCATGCTCTTTAGCCCACCTACTCTTTACGTCGGGTGACGCTTCTCAGTTTGGGGATTATGGTTGATCTGATATATATCCATCCTGTCTACTACTCAAGGGCAGTGTCTGGATTTGCCCCAACAGCAAGCAGAGCCTGTGATGGGGCTCAGCCGAGGGGCATAGGGACCTGGGGTAGAGGCTGCCAGGAGCCGCACCCACCGGCCATGTCGGCTGACCAGGACCTGGGCTCCTTTCCTAGTCACTGACCCCAGCAGGTGATCAGAGCCAAGCCCTTACCCAACCAGCAAGGGGGACTGGAGCCGCCCCCACACGTATATTAACTCCCAGCACTGGGAAGCTCTCCTTAAAAGGGACACTGGAACGTTAGTTAGTTCCTTCCCGAGACTCAACATTACAAGATTCTAACCCTGACTGTCACTTTGCACATAGGAGCAACTCATGCCCGCATGCACGGGCAAGGTTAGGAAGTGACCTGGTGCCCAGATCAGGCCATGGCGGGCACACAACGCGACATGCTCACCTCTGCCAGCTCTGTACCCCACATTTGAGGAATGCATTAAATCTCAGTGCCTCAGGGGGCTTCACTAACAGGGAGAACATAGGGCCACGCAGGTGGTCCTGCATCTAAACACTCAGCAACCTGGGGAGGGGGCAGAAAACAGAGCCCCTGTCCCATGCCTAGCCACCACCCTTGAGAGCCACTATAATCTGTGGTGGGACACAGCGCTGCTGGTTGAGAGATGAGGACTTCGTGTCTCGGGGACATGGGGTGACTTCTCAGATAAGGCACGGTTAGAAAAGGCAAAGCCAGGGGGCATCTGGGTGGCTCAGTCAGCTAAGCGTCCGACTTCGGCTCAGGTCTTGATCTCACAGGTCGTGGGTTCGAGCCCTGCGTCGGGCTCTGTGCTGACAGCTAGCTCAGAGCCTGGAGCCTGTTTCAGATTCTGTATCTCCCTCTCTCTCTGACCCTCCCCTGCTCACACTGTCTCTATCTCTCTCTCAAAAATAAATAAAACATTAAAAATTAAAAAAAAAAAAAAAAGAAAGTAAGAAAAGGCAAAGCCAGGTCCAGGGCCCAGGGCCCATCCACATCTAGTACAGCCAGGCAGAATCCATTGTTGGCAGGTTCAGCCCCTGGCTCCCTGCCCCTGTGCCCTGGACTCCTAATGAGCAATATGTACCACCCACCGTCCACCTCTATCCTGCCCCTGAGGTGGGCAAGGAGCCTAGCCCCTCCTCCTGGGAGGAGCCTTCCGGTCTGTGCCCATCAATCCAGGCCCTGGCCCCTCAGCCACGCCACGTAAGGAGTATAATGAGAAAGCCCAGGCGGCACCTCGCGCCTCCGCGTTCATGTCCATAATTTCATACCTGATCAGGGGCTGCTGCAGAGCCACCAGAGCCGCGTGGATGGTCACCGAGATCACCGACAGGTGGAAGTAGTCGAACATGACGGGGACCTGGTGGTGCAGACCTCTCCGGGGGTGGAAGTGCAGGCTGAGCGTGCGGCTGCTAATCAGGGGTGCCCCCGCCACGTCCCTCAGCCTGGAAGGCAAGTGAGTAAGCTCAGGTGAGTGACGGCAAGTGACACTGCTGTCACTCAGGCAGGGGTGCGTGACGGCCCCACCCCGGGCCAGCCACCATGCAGACACCATGATCCGTCCCCTACAGTTACCCTGTCCGGGGGACACCATGTCTCCCAGGATTGGCAGATGGAAAACCCAAGGGTCTGAGAGGGAAAAGAGCTTGGGAGGCACCACACAGCTACCTCTCAGCAGCCCCGGGGCTCATGCTCTGCGGCCACTGCCACCAAGCCGCCCCCCCTACCCCCACTTCTGTCAGGCCAGTGATGGAAAGACTCTCAGGCCCCTTTCAGAGCTCATGTCAACCCTGAAGCCCTCCTGGCCTCCACCAACCTTCCACCAACGCCCAGGACAGCGCTGCCTCATAAGTCTGTGTTTTCTGCCAGCATCCTACCTCGTCTGGCCAGGAAACGTAACTAATCGTCCTTCTGGCAAACTACACACGTTGGCCAAATGTTTGCTTATTAAAAAGAAGAGGTGACTGACCAAATGAATAAGTGAGTCCCGAGGCATAATGGTTAAACAGTCTGACCAATTTCATCAAGGAATCCCCCACCTTTGCTCTAGCATTTTGTCACTGGGCTGTATCTGATTCCCAAGAGATGAACTGGCTGGTAGGCAAGGTGCAGTGGAGCCTGTGGTTATAAAAAAACCTGTGATTCTTCTCTAAATAAAACTCTTCCAGTGCCAATCTCAAGTTCTGGAAGCCAATCACTCAGCCTCTCCAAGTCTCTCTGAGGCAGGGCAACTGGGAAGCGCAAATGGGGCATCTTCTGTGAGCAGAGCACAGAGTTCGGACACTATTCGGAGGTCAAACTTCTCCTTCCCCCATAGATGGGGAGACGAGAGAGCGGGAGACAAAGGGGAGGCAGAAGACTCCCCAGACCCAGCTCCGCGGGCTGGACTCCCCCTGAAATCCTTGTTGCTTAGCTTGTGGGCACATTGCCAGGTAAATCATTGCAGCCCAGGGTGACTCTGCTATCAGACCACAAACAGCAGCCTCCTCTCTTCCAGGCAAAAACCTGATGGGGGTGGGACAGCGAGGGCAGCCCCTGAGTCTCAGAATGCCACTAACATGTATATTCACTTTCATTCTGACACCAATTTACTGAGGCCTTATAATGAACGGAACCCAGTGCTTTTCCCCTCAATCCGTATGACCATCATATGAGGCCTTTACTAGTATTATTTCCATTTTCAGATGTGGAAGCAAAGCCAGCATGGGTTAACTGATTTGTTCTACTGACGGAATGGGAAAAGATAGTTGCAAATAACGTTATCAGTTAAAGGGATAGTATCCAAAAACTATAAGGAACACACCAAACTCCACACCCGAAAAACAAATAATCCAGTGAAGAAATGGGCAGAAGACATGAACAGACACTTCTCCAAAGAGGACATCCAGATGGCCAATAGGCACAAGAAACCATGCTCAGCGTCTCTCATCATCAGGGAAATACAAATCAAAACCACACTGAGATACGACCTCACACCTGTCAGAGTGGCTAAAATGATCATATCAGTTTACTCTAGATGCTGGCGAGGATGTGGAGAAACGGGCACCCTCCTACACTGTTGGTTGGAATGTAAACTGGTTCAGCCCCTCTGGAAAACAGTGTGGGGGTTCCTCAAAAAATTAACAGTAGAGCTCCCCTATGACCCAGCAATAGCACTGCTAGGAATTTACCCAAGGGACACAGGAGTGCTGATGCATAGGGGCACATGTACCCCAGTGTTCATAGCAGCACTCTCAACAATAGCCAAACCATGGAAAGAGCCTAAGTGTCCATCATTGGACGAATGGATCAAGAAGTTGTGGTTTATCTATACCATGGATTACTACATGGCTATGAGAAAGAATGAAATCTGGCCACGTGTAGCAACATGGATGGACCTTGAGGGTGTTATGCTGAGCGAAATAAGTCAGGCAGAGAAGGACAGATACCATATGTTTTCACTTATAAGTAGAACAGGAGAAACTTAACAGAGGACTGCTGCGGGGGGAGAAGAGGAAAAAATAGTTGGGGAGAGGGAGGGAGGCAAATCATAAGAGACTCTTAAATACTGAGGAAAAAAACTGAGGGTTGATGGGGGTGGGGGAAAGAGGAAAATGGGTGATGGGCATGGAGGAGAGCACTTGTTGGGATGAGCACTGGGTGTTATATGGAAACCAAACTGACAATAAACTATAAAAACAAAACAAAACAAAACAAAAAAACCTGACTTGTTCTAAGCCACGAGGAAAACTGAAATGCTAGGCCCAAGTTCATCTGACCACACAGTCCCTTCTGCAGTGCTGTACTCCACTGCTTGGAATCCATTTACACACCGAGATATTCTTAGGCTAGAACAAGAGGAGGTGAAGCACATTTCAGGGGAGCACAGGTGACAAAAATGTTAAGAAGAATTTAAGCCACATTAATAGGAGTAAAGAACTCTGATTAAAGCCGGTGATAGATGTTTTGTGCTCTATAACGGATAGAGCCAATCAATGGAGATAAAACTCAGTTCATGGGTGTCTCAATTTAGAAAGGGTTGGAGGTCAACCTGAGCACTGAAGGAAGAATGTCTGAGTTCCTATAAAGCAACTAAAAAAGGTCAAACACAGAACACAGGGAAAGAATTCTGATATTTAATTGGAGATAAAGAGATGACTTTATTGAAGAGTCTTGTTTATCTTGATCTTAAAGGGTCATTCAGACTGAGAATTTTTCTTTTTTTTTTAATGTTTTATTTATTTATAGGAGAGAGAGAGAGAGACAGCGTGAGCAGGAAAGGGTCAGAGAGAGAGGGAGTCACAGACTCAAACAGGCTCCAGGCTCTGAGCTGGCAGTCAGCACAGAGCCCGACGCGGGCCTCGAACCCACGAACCGCGAGATCGTGACCTAAGTGAGAGTCGGACGCTTAACCGACTAAGCCACCCAGGTGCCCCCAGACTGAGAATTTTTCTAAGTGGCTGCAAGGTTTAAAATCAAGGGCAACTGAGGGAAGGCATACAAAAGGGACTTGTTCCTTGAATAAGGAAGAATTTCCTCATAGGCAGAACCGTCCAAGGACAGAATGGGATTTGATGGGTAGGAGTGAGCTTCCCATCCCTATGCAGTGCAGGCATGTGCTCGTGTGCCTTTGCAGAGTAGCAAGTGCAAGTGCGAGAGGGTAGACTGGAGCAGGGTGATCTTGATTTTGACCCTTCCAAACCCCTGATATTCAATGCCATGCTTCTCTATTGGGTCTCCACTCAGGCCTACACAGTTCTAAAGAAGCCATCTGCCTGGGTCATGTTTCAAAGCCTAATGCATATTCCCTGGATGTGCTACAGACGCTGCATCATCCTTAAACCCAATTTATGAAAATGAAAAAATATGGCATTTTAAACTCTTCCCCAGCCCCTGGCTTCCTGTTCCCCTCAGCTAATCTTGTACTCCATGAAAACCCCCTGCTCTGATTGTTATTAAGTGCTCTGTGCTATGGAGAGGAAGTGACACGTGAAAGCCGGGCCCCACACGCATCTCGGAAGCCACAGAGAGGAAGAAGACATTGATTCGGCAGACCGCACACTTGAGATATTGTCTCTCTTAATCTTCATAACAGACTTAGGAGACATAGATTCTATAATAATGTCCATGTTATAAATGAGGCTGTTGAGATACAGGAACATTCAGGGATTTGACCAGCATCTCATGGCTGAGGAGCACGGAGCCTGGGCTGCTGAATGTTCTACCCTTCAGTCCCATCTCCATTAACTCCCATCTTGATGACAACATGGTCTCATTTCCTGGGTCTACCATGACTTATCATTCAGACTGCCAGTTGGGCTGGACGGAGAATGACTTCTAGGCTGAGTATGGAATCAATTGCAGGGTTCTCTGACTGCTTGGAAATGTCTCCTATGGAGTAATGGATGAATGTCTCTGAGGAAGTAAGCACAGAAAGATAAGGCAGGGTGGGTTAATGAAATGCATGAATGATGGAAATTGCAGATGGTTGAGGGAGCATAGGAGAATAGAGGCAGAGGCTTTACTTCTGAGTTTATAGGTTAGGAAGAAAGCCAGCTTCTTACAAGGGCCCCATAACTGTGAACCTAATGAGAGGGATCTTCAAGTGCGCTTGCCTTGTGTCCCCTACAATTGGGGGAACATAGGCTTCGGTGCCTATGGTGCAGGAATCATCCTGCAGATGTCTTCAGGAGAGAAGCTGAGGGTGGCTGGATTGGCCCAAGGGAGAGTGAGCAGCATTGCAGGGAGAGGGGGTTCCCCACCCCTGAGGGATTAAAGTGCCTTTGTTCATTTCCCAAGGACCAGATATGGGTTCTTTCAAGAAGAATATGCCAAAAGAGCGTCCTGCAAGGAGTGACTGGTCTGGCCACAGGAGGCATCACTATATCAAAGAACTACAGTGAGGGGGTGAGGGAGCTCGCCTACTGAATGGGTATATCTCCAGGGAATGCATAGGGATACCCCAAGAGCAAGGGACACAGTGATTCAGCCTCTACGGAGCCTTGCTTGCAATGGAACCTGTCCTATATGACCCTCTGCTTTGCAATCTCCTAACTCGTGACTGAGCCTGACCTTGTGAGGCCCACACCCGGCTGCAGGGAAGGAGGCAGGAGCAAACAGAAGCCCTCATACTGCCCTGCTCCTGCCCTGGGAGTTTCCTAACCTCGACAAGCCTGGAGCTCAGGGTGGCGGAAGCAGGCAGGGAAGGGGCCACAAACTGGGTGAGAGGTTAGAGTCTTGGTAATATCCCTGCGTGGCCTTACTGATTCCTGAAACAGGGACTATGGATTTATGACCTGACAGAGTCTGCAGCTGAGAGCTTGCACAGAGGAGGAGGAGGGGGCGCCACAGAGCAGGCTGGGAGAAAGCAGTTACAGGAAGGAGAAGCCTTGTCTCCCGCCTCTTTAATCCGCAGGTGACAAATAAGCAGGTTTTCAGTTTTCAGAGAGTCAAAGTACAGTAGCAGATATTCGGTGCAAAAGCGTGGGGTCCAGGCAGGGTCTCCTCTGTTTCAGAAGGAGCCTTGAGGCTTGCCACCTCACAGCGTCAGGAATCTGAAGACCTAATAAATACCGCACTGGGTATGAATGGAGGTGTGAGGCATGAGAAGGTGCCAGATAGTAAAGGCAAGCAGTCAGGAGCTGTGTGTGCACTCAGAACTCTAGCTTCTGCCTAAAAGACCCCCAGTCTGCAGTGAATTCCCGCACACTCCCAGCCCACCTGTTGGGTGGGCGGGGCAGCCTCTCTGGAGCCAGGCCTCTGGGGGAAGTTCCCAGGTTCAAGGCCATAGGTGCCCCAGGGGGCGGGGGCAGGGAGGGGTTGGAGGAAGGAAACCAGGAGGATTCAGAGACAGGAGGGTCACTCACTGCTGTTCACTGTCTGTAAAGTGCAGATCCACCTTGAGCTGAAAATCGACTTCACTCAGTGCCTCTTCCACCTGAAAGAGAAACAGAGTTCAAGGGACTGAGGAGTCACACCTGGCCCCGATGAAAAATGCAGCTGGCCTAATTCCCAAAGTTTAGGAAACGAATCTCACTGCAACATTAATGTCATTCATTCATAAACCAGAATTGCCTGCGCAGTCCACACAACTCTGGTTGGAGGGGATATGTGAGTATTATGAGGAAACAGAAGGAAGGGATTCATGGGGGAAATGTGGGAATTTCCCAAATGTGGGAAAAAGCCAATTTGCAAAAAAAATGTCATGCAAGTTTTCTATAGTGCAGGACTTTTGAGAACCTTACTTCCCAAACAGATTTGATCTGGAATCCTTGTAGGCAGCAGGGAAGTGTTCATGTGCTCTGGGAAGGAGGAAGCGGTGGGCTTGACCGAAGAAGCCCCCCTTGGCTAGTGATGTGAAAATGCTGGTGGAGGTGTGACGTCATCTCTGCCCTCGGGCACCCTCACCTGGTGGGCACCACTGTCAGTGTGTAAGAGGGGGATCCTGACGCTCAGGACGGTGAGGCCATCACCCAAGATGGCTCAGCTTCCTAAGAAAGCAGATCTTCCTTTTTTTTTTTTTTTTTTTAAAGTTTATTTATTTGAGAGAGAGAGACAGAGAGGGAGAAAGACAGAGACGGAGAGAATCCTAAGCAGGCTCCGCCCTGACAGATGTGGGGCTCGAACTCACAGAACCATAAGATCATGACTTGAGCCAAAAACCAGGAGTCAGATATTTAATGGACTGAGCCGCCCCCAGCTGCCCCCAGATCTTTCATTTTTGGCTTGAGGTCCATTACATTGAACCATTTACACTTTGAGACATGGTGGCATTTCCTGTCCTATCCACAGCTGCTTTTGTTCTTAACGTTCCTATTTTCCTCAATTAGCAATGCAATCTGTGTGTTCTACCTGCTGGCTTCTCACCTCCGTCTAAAAGATGGTACCCCCTGTTCTTCTTTTCCCACTTTCAACACCATCTTCCGACCTTCAGGAAGGAGACCTGCTCAAAGCCTGATCCTACCTGATCCTACCTCTGCCTCTGCTCAGCGGGGAACCCAGGTGAGGGCTGCACGCCTGGGCCAGGTTATGGGTTCCTCTGCACACCCAGGCTGGACGGAGCCCTTCTCCCCTGTAACCCACAAAACCCTGATACCTCATTTCCATCTTGGCCTTCAATGCTTCCAATTACAATCATTTCAGGTTTATAATCGGGAAGCCCGGGACCCAAATTGTTTCTGTCTAGTCCTCGCCAAGCTGCAAGTTGCAACTTACAAATTGCAAACATTCAAAAATCAGGCAACTTCACATTTCGATTACAAGTTTCCAGCTTCTGTTAAAAAAAATCCCTGGATCTGGCAACGCAGGCCTGGCATTTGGAAACTTCGTTTGGATCAGGCTCACGGTGTTCGCTGACAATCCCCATCTGGCCTGTGGCTAAACTGCGCACCCCCCCACTATCCCCCGGGCCATTTTCTTGCCTCGAGTCCACAGCAATCAGTCATCATTAAGGGAGAGAGTAGTCTTAATTCATTCTGGATCCCCAGCTCCAGGAATAGTGCCTGCCACATAGAAAGTATTAATGTGTCCTGAGGAATAAATAAAGCTCTTCTCCACCCCCTCTCCCGTCGGTTCTCGTTTCTTTGCAAAATGTCCTCATCTTTCAGGGATGGAAATCTCTTACCCAAAGGCATCTTTGGAAACATGTTCCTGGTTAAGCAGATCTCAGGCAGAGACATATGGATGGAATTTATCTTTAGGTCTCCAGGGTTTTAAAATTTGTTTGGGGGAAGAAAAAAGCATTTAAAAGTTAACATTTCACCGGATCCAAGTGCTATGAATAACTTCCTCTGCTAGCTTTGTTTTGCATAATCACAAACCTTGCTTCGTACACACAGCCCCAGCAGCTGAGCCTCCTGCCGCCTATTCCTCGGAAGTGGGACTGGCAAAGTGGGCCCGCCTAACCTCCTCCCGGGCGTGCTGGCAAGCACCGCTCACTGTAAGCCCCAGTTTTAAACCTGCTGCAATTCCTTTGGAACTAGGAGAGGAATCCCGGGCCAGGACTGAGCCTGGCTATGGCTTTACTGATGTCTCTATAAATCTTTAATTGCAAGATGCTCCAGAACAAAGCCACTGGCTTCTCTAACCATTCAATTCATCACTGGCAGGTGGCTGCCTTCCTCCCTCAAAATACACACACTCGTACATGGGCATGTGCAGAAAGGTGCACACACCTGCCAACATCTGTATGTGCACACACACTTGTATGCGTGCCCTGTCACTGCTTCATCCTAATGACAATGACCTCCCTTTAAGAGTCATTGTTTAGGGCCACATGGGTGGCTGAGACTTCAACTCTGGTCATGATCTCACGGCTCGTGAATTCGAGTCCGGCATCGAGCTCTGTGCTGACAGCTCAGAGCCCAGAGCCTGCTTTGGATTCTGTGTCTCCCTCTCTCGCTCTCTCTGCCCTTCCCCCTCCCGCCAAACATTACAAAAAAGAGAGACCGAGTCATTGTTTAGCAGTAGAAGCAGCTTGGTGCAGCACTGAACAGAACACTAGTAGCCTAGTATCTGCCGAAGAATTCCTAGGTAGCACCTGACTGCCCATGCTGGCTATCCAATGTGGATAAAACTGAGAATTCAGAAATATTGTCCCTCGTTCACAAATGAGGACATCGAGGCTCAGTGCAGGAGCGAGTTCCCAATTCAACCTTCCCAAGGTCAGCTGGTGAGCGAGTCCCATAGCCCAGATTCGGTCAAGGGTCCATCTGCTTCTTCGGCCTTTGTTGCGTGGTCCCTTCCGTGTTGTGGGGTACACATTCTCTCCCTGGCTGCTTTCAGCTTCCCTCATGATGGTGACTCTTCTCCATCTGTGGCTTCTCTCCTGAGTTGCATCACAGCCAGTGGAGAAGAAGGCAGCTTTGGATGTCAAGCTACAGGGGTGCAATGCTTGGCTCTACCCTGGGCCAATCAACCTCTCTAAACTGGTTTTCTCATCTGTAAATGAGGTTAAATATTACTTACTCCTTAGATAGCACTGCTATTGTGTGACTAAGAAAATATACCCAAAGTGCTTAATATAACATATGAAACAAGACCATTCTTTTTTATTTATTTTTTTTTTTTGAGAGACAGAGAGAGAAAGAGAGAGAGAGAGAGAGAGCAGGGGAGGGGCAGAGAGAGAGAGGAAGAGAGAGAATCCCAAGCAGGCTCCATGCTACCAACACAGAGCCCAATGTGGAACTCAATCCCGGGAGCCATGAGACTATGACCTGAGCAGAAACCAAGAGTCAGATGCTTAACCAACTGAGCCACCTAGGCGCCCCCAAAGACTATTCTTAGCAACTATTAGTTATCGTTGTTATTTCCAAATTCCTCTGGCCCTGGCCACACGATGTGTCTGCATATTGGTCACAAACATAGGCTTCGGGGTCAAACTGCATGGGTTCAAATCTAAGCTCTACTACTTTCTAGTGATATGACTTGGGACAGATTACTTCTCTACATCGCTGCATCCTCAACTGTAAAGCAGGCATTGTAAAACACACCACAATACCGTAGTGATGATCCTCTGAGAACTTCCAAGGAAAGCACTCAGCACAGCGCCCACCACACAACACACACCGAATACATACAAGTTGCTATTAGTGTTAAGATCATGAGGTTGTTAGTATAACTCAGCCTGAATTCATATCACCCCTCAAAAGAAATATGTCTTCTCCCTATTAACCTGGACTCTCAATGGACCCCAAGCCCATTTCATGGCCAAACCTTACCGTCAAATCCCATCGAACTTTCTTGAGTACAGGATGTTCCGCATCCTCCATGCTTGGGCCCAGGTCTACACGGGTGTTTGGCTTAAACACAGTCATCCCCACTGCCATGCTGACTGCCATGCCCACTGTGATGCACACTGCCATCCCCACTGCCATCCCCATACCAATCCCCACTGACATGCCCACTGTCATGCCTACTGCCACCCCCACTGCCGTCCCCACTGTTGCTGCCTCTGCTGCCGGGCTACCCACCACTTGCGTGGACCATGAACTGCCCCCACACCCTGGGCTCATGGCACTGCCTCCACGCCCTGGGCTCATGGCACTGCCTCCAAGTCCTGGGGCTCAGAGCATGGCATCCACATCCTGGAAAATGCCCAAAGCCCTACTTTCCATATTTTTGCCAGGTGGACCTTTTTAAATCCCAACTCTCCTTCTCCTGATTCCCAAGGCCACCCCCCTGCTTTCAGAAGAGGTAAATATTCGGTGTTTGGAATGGCATGCATGGTGCTACCTGTTGGGTCTTCAAATATCCTGTCCAGCCTCGCACCTGCACCATCTCCTACCCTTCCGGAAACAACTCTTTCTTCCTCAGATGTACTGTCTCCTTCACTGCTTTTTCCCCGCCCTCTCTACCTTTGGTCTCAAAAGCTGTTCATACCCTCTTGCAGAAATTCCACCTGTTCCATAAAAATTCAAAACTCTCAATCACGTTCCTGCTCCCTCAAAAGAAAACCCTCTGCCTGACTCACTAGGTCTGGGATGGGCTCAAGAATCTGCATTTTGAGCAAGTGCCGCCAGGGGACTGTGATGTGGGGACAACAAGAAATCACACTTTGAGAAACGCTTTTCTTTTTAAAGCCAATAAAAATGCAGCCTTGTTGACAAAGACCTTTTGAGGAAATCTGCTCCTCCTCCTCCTCCTCCTCCTCCTCAGGGCACCAAGCAACTTGTTGTTAATGACTGTATTCTTCGCCTTGGCTGCTGGGAAGCTTGGTGCTGAATGTGCAAGCATCCATTAGCAACACCTAGTGCCATGTTTGTGCATTTCGGTTACAGTTATCACAGGTGCCCAGGCTTCCCCGCCCCCTTTTTGTGATTTTCCTTGCCTCGGGCTCACTCTGTTATTGTTGTTTCTGCTTTTACTATTCTATGCATTTTGTCAGACTTCCCAAATCCTCTGGGGGCTTACACAGAGTGTATATAAATAAAATCGCCACCCTACTTAGACACTCACTCTTTGCGACTGTCACGCAAACACTCCATCTTATTCCTAAAGCAGTGATTGCTTCTGTCCGTGGCCATGTCTTGCACTGACCTGTGCCCTCCAGCGTGGAAGGCATTTTCAGGCACATAGCTTGTGCAACAGTATGCTTGATGTATAGCCACTATCTGAGTGTCCGTTGTTCACAATGATGGCTGTGGGGATGCAGGGACATGAACTCTGGGCACCTGATGAGAAGCAGTGCTTTGTTGTCAAAAGATACTCACTGGAAAAGAGCCAATGGATCCATTCTCGATATACAATGTGTAAGGACATATCTGATTAATTTTAATTGTCACTGATCTGGGTATAATGATTAGCTGTAGCATTCTTTGCTGCCGTATAGATTACCCCAACACTATACAAATTATAAGCTTGTAGCGATGAATGATTTGGCATAAAAAGGCAGCAATACGTATTATAGCCACGCAGACTCCCTGTTCAATCTCTGAATTGAGGCTTGTTACAACCTGACCTGAGCTAAACTTGGGTGTTGAGGAAGGCTCCAAATGCGGGGGTGGGAGCGAGTGGCGGAGATCACTTGGAAAATGACTGAGACACCTGAACGCTGTCCAAACCCAGCCCCCCAACGCAAATGCTGCAGCAGGGCTTCAAGGTCAACATGCCAAAGGATGACGGCCCCCAGGAGGCAAAGTGAGGTTCTCCCGCCAGAATCTGGGTGCACCAAGTGTGAACCCGCAGCCTAATTTGGGGTTCCTTAAAACTCAAAACAACCTCAGGGGTCTCTTCCTAAACTGGGTCCAAGAAGGAAGTCACTTTGATGCACTCAAAATAAGGAATCCAGGCCGTTCAAGAAAGAGATGATTTACAAGGGTGCGGGGATGGTTTGTGGAAAGCCACAGATGGTGGCCAGTGCGTCAGGCCTGGTAACGACAGGGTGACCTTAATGCCCTGGACCAGGAGAGGTGTGCTTAGCGAGTGGTTATCAGAACTGGAGGGAAAGCTCCACAGAGCGAGCCCCCCGACCTGAGCTGAGACCTTGGATAAATGTTTCATAACTGGCTCTCTGAAGGAAAATGTGCAACATTGCCGATTTCTGTGGTGGAAATATTTCCACCACAACTGATTTCTAGCTACCAATGTGATGTCATTGCATGGGGAGCTGGAAAGGCATGCGTACCTGTGGCTCTCACAGTCTAGCCCCGCACACCACCAGGCAAGCAGCCCTCTCTGGCCCAGCATGAGCCCGGGGAATGAACTCCCTGGCCCCACTCTCCTCCCTTCTTCCAATCACCGCCAGGCTTCTCACAAGCTGAACCCAAACAGAACCCAAAGGGTAAGGATGAGACTGAGTAGTGGGTGCAGTTAGCTCTGGGGCCCAGAGCAGGTGGGGGAGGGCAGAGGGCAGACACACCAGCAGTCAAAAGAGAGGCGGCCCAGCTCATGGAGGCTGGTTTTGGTCTTTTTGATTTTAGTGACAAACAAGGTGTTCACAGTCACTGTGATGGCATAAGGAAGAAGGGGATCAGGGTCCCTGAAGGCTGGCAGGCAACACTAGGGATATTCATTTCCGTTGGCAAAGAAGGGGGTTACAAAGGCCCTAAAAGGAGGAATTCCAAGTTCAGTGTGTTCATGCACCAGCTAAGTCATCTGCTCGCATCTGCTGGTCGGCTCCCACGGCAGATGCTGGGCTTGCAAAGACGGACAGGGCACTCCAGCCCCAGAGAAGCTCACAGACTGGGGGAACGGGGCACCAAAGCCAAGACAAACATTGTGCCCTTTTGATGAAATCAGTGGCTCCCCTTCACCCAAGTATAAACTCTGCCTTCCCTCCCATCGCCCATAGTGCAGAGTCTGGCCCCACCTACCTCTCTCCCTTCACCCCTGCCCCTTCCCTCCAGTCCCTGCACAAGACTCAATAAATCTCAGATGGATGGATGGATGGATGGATGGATGGATGGATGGAGGAATGAAGCATGTAGCCACAGGGTGGAACCTGGTCTCTGCCTAGCCCACAAAGGATACGGACAGACAGAAAGCCATGGGGCATGATGGGAAGAGAGCCCCTGGCCAGCAGGAGGCGCTCCGTGCACCGCTTGGGGAACATGACTGGGGGACCTGCCTCTAACGGGACCTTCCTAAAGTGGGAACATACTTCCATATCCTTAAAGGCATTCCAGCAGGAAGTGAGCAGCTGGAATGTGGCAGTGGGAATCAGAGACAGGACTGAGGAGGTGCTGGCAATGCCTCAGACTCCAGATATCTCCTTGCTAATATGTGCTAATATATGTGTGCTAATATGAGGAACAGAGAATTTTTTTTTTAACGTTTATTTATTTTTGAGAGAGAGAGACAGGGCGCGAGTGACAGAGGGGCAGAGAGAGAGGGAGAATCAGAATCCGGAACAGCCTCCAGGCTCTGAGCTGTCAGCACAGCACCCGACGCAGGGCTCAAATTCAGGAACCATGAGATCACGACCTGAGCTGAAGTCGGACGCTTAACCAACTGGGCAGCCCAGGTGCCCCGGAACAGAGATTTTTCAATCAAGTTTCCAACAAATGGAATGAGGCTCCCAAGGTCTGTGGTCTTTACCTCATGCTGTTTCCCCTGCAAGGGGCACCCTTTCTGTTTCTCTCTGGACTCGCAGTTGGTACATCTCACAGCCAGCTGCTTGCCAGCTCCTTGGTGGCTCCTCCCCACACGGCTCATGTCCCCACCCTGGCGGCACCCCCGTTTATTTGCACACACAGCCAGCATAGTTCACGTCACATGTCAGGGTGTTGGCTTCTGTACCTGTTTTCCGACTCAGTTACCAAGCCCTCGAGGGCAGAGTTCCTGCCGCCTTCTCCAGCCTCGTCCCTCATCCGGGCGCCCTGCCCAGAGCCCTGCCCAAAGCAGACACTCAGTCGGTGTCTGCTGACTGCCTCCTTGACAGAATACCTGCCCGAACAGATGAACAAACAGGCGATGGAAGAAGGAACCAAAGCCTCAGTAGTTCAGTTCACGGAAACTGCGTGGGACACGGACGGAGGAAGCACGTGAGTGAAAGACTGAGTACAGAAAAGAATCAATACGTGCATGAGTTCTCTAAAGCCACGAATCCCCATCAGACGTTACAGCAAATCCCTCGCTTCGCCTTCACTTACCATTACCCGGCAGTGGCGACAAAAAGCAGGAAGGGGGGACTGCACCTTGTGGCTGGTGGCAGATCCCACGACTTACCCTTTCTCCGTCTAAGAGCAGATGAGCTCGGAAGATCACGGCATCATTTATGGGCACCTCTTCATTCCTGTATAAGATCTGAAAGACCCGGCTGTGCACGGCGTTCTCGTGGGTGCAGGCAGAGTGCAGGGTGCTGCCGTCTGCAAAACAAACCAGTAAGAGCCCGTGAACTCCAGTCCCACCCTGCACCTGCTGCCTCAGGTGTCAGTCCAGCTCAAGGAAAGTAATGGCCCCCAAACGCACTGTGACGTCCAAAGGTTAAAGTCACAGAAGGAATGCCATTCCATCGTAGAAAGACTCATGTGGAATGAACGGGGCTGGCCGTTCTCAGAAGAACCTTACTAATCCCTGACAAGCCACACGATCTGGCCGTGCAGTGCTCTGCGGCGGGAAATGAGTGGCTGTTAAATTCCTCACCCTCTCACATGTCATGTCCGCTCCTCCATGAAACCTTCCATAATCTTCCTCTCCTAGAACCAGGGAGGAAGAGAAGAGCAGATAAGATAAGGGCAGAAACTTCTCTTCCTCCTCCAAGGACTTCCCAGTGCCCCTAGAATCGCACTCCTGAAACGTTGCTCACATATCATGTAGGATATGGAGAACATTCTGTCTTGAGTTTTAGGTATGTGTGCTAATCCTAATTGTATTAGGCATCAAGGTTTCAAAGACAGTTGTTCAACTCTGTGTCTTCCAATGCATTCCAAAGAAACCCCAATTCCTAAGCACTGTCTGCGAGTAAAGCTCTACTTCAGGAAGACACACCTATCTGACGATGACAAGGGACTTAACTGCATCTACTGACCACCATTATGGAAAACAAATGGGGTGAATATTTCAGAACCACTTAACACACAAACTGCACACCAGGGACAATATAAAAATATCTTCAAATAAATAATGCTAATATTTACATAATATAAAGTGATGATTACCTGTTCATCATAATGACCAACCACGTGGCACTTTACAGCTTCCAACATGCTTTCACATTTGTACTTTTCCCTAATCCTTGTAGGAAACTGCTAGGGAAGATTTTACTATGGATGAAGAGACCATGGCTCAAAGGAAAAGAGGCGGGCATCTTGGTATTCACCACATGACGAGGTATTGCATGGATCTAGGCTCACACCCATCTGTTTAGCAACCAAGGAAAGAAGTCTCGGGTGAATGAATAAAACGCACCTGTCTCCTAGCAAAAGGCAGGTGCTCTATAAATCACTACAGAAAAAAATAAACAGCATGTTTGCAAAGAGAGCCCAGAAAATAACAAGAAAAGTCAGTGCAACCAGCAAAGAAAAACAGCTCAAGTGCTTTGATCATTGTACTCAGATGGCTTGAAGAGTCCCCTGGAAACAGGACAAAGGGTCACTGTCCTCTCCCCCCCCAGAGCAGAGTGACACACAAACCAACACCTGTCCTGTAGCTTCAGAAGAGGGAACAAAAACATGTAAAATCCCAGGTCATTACCAAGGCTGCTCCAATGTGCCTGCTCTAATTTGCACTTCGTCATGAAGGAAATAAAATTACTGGGCTAACGCAGCCCTATTTAGACCCGTTGGATTCAAACTGATGCGGCCTTTAAATAGAAGTGATCCTTGTGTGCAAATGCCTTTCTGTTTTTATTTGCTACATCAGCCCTTTCTCTATCACTGTCAAGGCCTAGTTGATCTATCAGCCAGCCCGACAATGTGGCAGAGGATAGATGGGGTAAAGACTCTGAAGGTCAGAGCAGCCCTGAGCCGCCTAGTACCAGGAGGGACAGCCAGCAAAACAGTTCAATCACCCAGCCTTCTCGGGCAGGTGACATCACCCCCTGCAACAGCAGCTTTCCATGTGAAAAATGGTCATATCCACCCTGACCTGGGATCCATATAGACATAAAGAGCATAAAATAAATCAAGATCCTAAGACCAGGCACATACTGGGTGTGCAAAATGCCATAAGGTGACTCTTTAATTGTGCTCAGAGGAAGGACTGGGCACTTTCTGTTGAATACAATTCCACTGGCCACATTTCTATGAGAGATTAGACTCCTCTGATCTGGGGCAGATTGTCAGTCTAGACCACAGGATTCAATGGTATTTGGAGATCACCAAATCCCAAACTGCCCCATTCAGCCCAGGATGAGGTGTTTCTTAAGCATGATGGGACTTCCTCTGCCATCTTCTCGCTACTATTAAGTAGGGCATAAGCAGGTGTCTCCTTGCAAGGGAAGGCTCACCAACCACGGATACCATTTGGGATTGTGGACATCACTGAGACAGTGTTAACTTTCTCCCCTCAACAAGGACAAGCCACACTTGGACACCTCGCCCATTATCTTGGCTTCCTCCTCCTGCACTCTGAAGGAAACGCGACTTTTTTCTCCTCCGCAAGGCCTCTTCCTGCAATGTCTAGTACTGGCTCTCCGGCTCTTTTTATGCAGTGCACCAGGCACTGGCCACCCGGAGATGAGGGGCGTGCATGCTCTGCCCACCCTCAAAGACCCTGCGGACCCTTCGGGATGCTGCCCTTTCCTAGCTGGGGAGTGAAGAGCCACGTCTCTCTTTAGAATGTTTTTTTCCTGGAGCAGATTCTATTCAAGTGACCCCATGAAAAGGCAGGGACTAGAGGGACTAGAGTCTCCCCAGACATCTGTCTGCTGTTGTGCGTGGCAGGGTTGGTACCAAGCATAAGGATCTGAAAGGACAATTAGAACATTAAGAAGAAACAAGGTAGACATCTCAGTGGCTCAGTCGATTGAGATCACTGCTCTTGATCTCAGCTCAGGTCTTGATCTCGGGGCCAGGAGTTCAAGCCCTGTGTTGGGCTCTCTCCACTAGGCATGGAGCCTGCTTTGAAAAATAAATAAATAGATAAATAAGTAAATAAGTAAATAAATAAGAGGAAAGAAGGCAGCAGAAAGAAGGTAGGAGGAGGAAGAAGAAGGAATGGAAAGTAGAGGAGAGGAATGGGGAAAAGAGAATAGGGCAGAGGAACTCCTCAATGGTTCCCACCGTTCAAGGAGCGAGGTTCAAACAGCTCAATCTGCAGTTGCAGGCCAGAAGGCAAGGGGAAAAAGACTTTTAGGGTCTGATGGGGTTTTTCCCCTACATAAATGAGTGATATCAACAATCTGCATTTCTACGTTATCGCCAAATGTCTACAGCTCCAATGAGACTTCCCTCTGCTGGGCGCCCCCACGAGCCCCAGGGCCTCTGTGAGTGCAGATCACAGAGCGCAGGTGCTGTTCGTCTCACGTGGACCCCGTGCCCAGCATCTGGGCCTGCAGCACTCTCGCAGCACATTTGCTGTGGTAGGAACCCCACCCCAGATCCAAGAACACGGCCATGGTTCTGGCTGCCCACAGGCGCTCCCCAGAGGATCAGGTGTATGCCAGGGGGTCAAAACTTCAGGGGATCCTCTCCCAACCCTCCAGGCCCGAGGACAGCCCAGCGAGGCTTGGGCTGTTGGCAAAGGAAGATGCTGAGAAGCTATCACCGAATTTCTTCAAACCCAGGCCGTATTCATACGTGAGAATCCTCCAGCACATCAGAGCTCATAGAAGTGGAAAAGCCAAGGGAGGTTAAGAGCAACTCAAAGTCAAGACCTTGGCTTTCTCATCCTGTTCTAAAGAACAGGACCTCCACAGTAACGCAAACTTGCCTTCTAAACTTGTGCCACCACTTTCTCACCATCGGGCCTTGGGCAGACCATGAAATCGAAGGGCAAATAAGACAAGAGTCATGCCCTGCCTAGTTGCCATAGTGAATCTGAGATTCAGATGAGATGAGGAATAAAGGGGTATGTTTAACTATGAAATTCCACAAACCCAGCCAGACTTCCTAGTAAGATGAAGATAATAACGATGATGATTCTTTATGCCAGGCGATTTTCTGGCTAATTCCAGGAATAGGAAGGACAGAAGGTCACCTTGAAGCCAAACTCAATATTATTTTTTTCTACCAGTTTCAAAGAATAGGCAGAAAAGAAAACCACCTTGAGGCAGATGTTCACTGTTTCTCTAGAGAATGACCAGAGTGAATTCCCATGTCGCCTAGGTGTTTTATGGCCAGTAGGGCTGGGGAACACTCATGGCCACGGCAGAGAGGTAGGACATGACCTTCTGTGGCTCCATCAAAGCTGCTACTTTGCTTGGAGACTCTGTCCCCAGAGTACAAGTAAAATGATCCACACAGGGAAAGTATAATCCCCTGGGATCAAACAGCCAAGGTGTTGATGACTCTTCTGGAATTTGGATATGGGGAGACCCGCTCGATGAGCACAGACTTGCCCCAACCAAAGAGGTGTCAACATATTGTATGGATAAGGCAAGGAATACTGTTTCTTGGAAATAAAGGTAGGCTGAGAAAGGCTGGAGCACAGGATGATGGCTCTGGGTGTTCACAATGGTCCAAGGGTTCATGAGTAGAAGGCTGGTTTGGTTACATCATGAGCCGGAAAGTTCTGTGGATCCAGCTAACCTGGCACAAAGGTTGTGCTTTGAATAGCGATGACTGAACATATAAATGTCACCTGAAAAGTAATAACCTGAAGTCCTGAGGCAGGCCCCCAAGCCCTATGCAGACACCTGAACCAGCAAGCTCACCGTGGAGGTTGCAAGTTTCTTAATGCGCTGAAGAACCACCTTCAACAGATCATCCGTGTGGCCATGACCAGCCCTAGTAGCAAGAGAAGGATCAGACCCAGTTCTTTCCTAACCTGGCTTTCAAAAAAGGAGGCCATTCAGGGACACCTGGGGGGCTCAGTTAAACGTCTGACTTCTGCTCAGGTCATGATCTCACGGTTCATGAGTTTGAGCCCCACGTTGGACTCTATGCTGACAGCTCAGAGCCTGGAGACTGTTTTGGGTTCTGTGTCTCCCTCTCTCTGCCCCTCCCTCACTCATTCCCCCCACCTCTCTCTCCCTCTCAAAAATAAATAAACATTTAATTTTTTAAAAAGGATCCCATTTCATTGTATAAGCCAAGGTCTTCTCCGCCCGTGTGAGATGAAGGAAGCACGTTAGCATTTTTGCTCACAGGGCACTTAGATACAAAAGCAGTTCTGTGAGATATCTGCAGAGATGTAAATGGACTTATACCTTCAATTTTTTAAGCACATCATATTTTCATTGGATAGCTATCTGAAAAAACTGAAA